CAGCGACCAGCAGCAGACCGTTCTGACAATTAAGAAATTCCTGCCTGTGTTTTGCCTGCTGCTCAGTAATTTTTATCACATACATTTTTTATCGCAAATATCACAACTTCATCAGCAATCAATGCGGCCAACAGCAGCAACATTTGCAACCTGAGAGGCGGGCAGGCAGACAATTAGCCATAAAATTAGCTGCAAGTTGGCTCAAGGAATGCGTTGTCGATGGCCAAGGCGCTTGGCGGTGGCAAATTGAAAACAATTTTAGCTATTTGCATATAAATGCAACCTGAGACGCTGGCAGCCAGCAGCAGCAACAACAACTGCAACAGCAACTGCAGCAGCAACAGCAGCAGCAGCAGCTGCATGTTGCCCACCTTTTGAATGTTGCTAGGAAATGTTGCCGACCCACTGTGGAAAAAAAAGTTCAGAGCTATATTATCAATAAATCGCAAAAAATAAATACCTTTACCTAACAGATAAAATAAACAAGGCTTGGCATATTGCACCAATTTACACCTAATTTGTTCCCAATCGCCAGTTCTCGAAAATGTACTAAATATAAAAATATAAAATATGATAAACAAATTGCTAGACAATATACTTTAACTCTCAGTTAGTAACACAGTTAACTAATTGGTTTACTAACGAAAATACGTACCAAATATTAACATAAAAAATTATAAAAAAAAATTCATAGACAATATTTGGAACTAATTAGCCAAGTTTACAGAATACTTTTTCCCTCAGTTAGTAACACTTTGTATCAATTTGTTCGCTAACCAAAAATGAACTAAATACAAAAAAAAAATTTGTCTAGGGACAAGTACAAAAGGCTTATAACCATGTATTTAGAAGTTTATCTTTAGTTTATTTACATATTATGGGAAACAAATTTTTTCATAACTTTTGTTCTTGTAAGATAACTTACTAATGAGTTTTTGATCACCTTATCGGAAACCTTATTTTTTTCCAAATTTTTTTCACTGTGCCAGACAGTAAAGTTTATCGTAATTGCATATTAAAATTAATTTATTAGTTTGGTTAAAAGTCTTAATACTTTGTGTATTAAGATGTATAAAAAGATAAACAATCAGTTTTAGGACAAGTATAAAAACTTATTTCTATTATAGGGATCTTAAGTTTATTCAAGTTCAGTTTTATTCTTTTGAGATACCTACTAATGAGTTTTTGATCACCTTATCGGAAGCCTTCTTTTTTTTTCCAATTTCCTGTACCCAATTTATCCCACTGTGCTGGGCCGTAAAGATTATCGGACTTGCATTTGCCATATAGTTCATAATGGCATATTATGCGAGTGTGGTCAGTACTAAACAGATAAAGATAGCTGAGGGCGATCGGCAAATGCTTTTATCGGCTCTGGAATATAAATATTGATATAGTCGGAGTGGACTTGGCAACAATTAAGGAATCACATAACCGTGTGGTTGAATTCTATGCATAAACATATAAAAATGAGCGAACACTTGTGAATGTTGTTGAAAAATATTTACACAAAGGTTCAAACTACATTTCACGCCTAATTTCATCTGACAACAACAGCAGCGAAAAGTTGGGGAATATTTTTACACATTTTTTTGGTGTTATTTTTTTTTTCGCTGGACCAGCGGGATTTGGTGGGGCGCTCTGTGGTGGCTGCTGTGTTAATTTGAGACATAATTGCAAGCTTGCCAGGATGGGTGGCGTGTTGGGGTGGAGGAGGGGATAGCCAGGGGGTGGTACAGTGGGGCAGCACAGTGGGGCGGAGGGGACAGCTGCGCCGACTGGTTATGACAGCAATGACAGCTGCGGCAACGTCGGCATTTGAATAATTTGCAATTAAACGCTCAACGCGGCTCAGCAATTAAGCGAGGAGTCAAGGGGGTGGGGAAGGGAAATAGCTGGTGCAGGGAGAAAAATTAGCTTAGGGGCTTTTAAAATTAAGAGAAAACCAAAAATAGAAAAATAAGATTATACCGTTGTCTTCAGTTACTTTCCTGGATACAGTAAAATAAGCAATTGATAAACTTTGGCTAATTATAATAATATACCTACTAGCTGTTTATAAACTAAAGCAAATAACAGTATTTTTATTAATAAAAATCTCTACTATTTTATCATAAAAATGTTTGTATGTTTATTACCAAATGGTAATGAATAAAATGAAAAATACTTCGAACTTCCAAAAAAAATGCTGAAATCAACTGCCAACTGTAATTTCCGCCAGTGTAGACGGGGGAGTGAGAAAAAAAGGCAAACATTTCCCCGTGGCCAAAAACGTCGCACGACCACACGACGTATGCGTAATATTTTGCATCTGATTCGGCGAGCCTGGTCGACTTTTGAACGGGTTTATCTGGTAGTCGCAGGAGTCGGCCTGAGAACGAATCCAAATGTCCACGTCCATCAGCTGTCCACAGCTGCTGAAAGTTGATGGCCCGCGATGAAGACAGCGGACCGGTCAAAACCAACACCCAACTGTGTTTCCAATTAAACGCCGCTTAGCCAAACAACGCGGCCAAACAACCCAAACAACACAAACAACGCGCAACAACCAAACGTCGGCGCAACTTTCAGTTTGCTTTACGGTTAGTTCGTGTCTTGGTCGCACTGAACTTGAATCTTTATAAGGCAGACAGATCGGGCCTGAAGCCCCGGCCCCCAGATCACATCCAGATTTAGATCCAGATCTCTGCGATTCGGACAAAGTGTGATACGGACTGGCAGACTGACTAATTGATGGCCCGCTGATTGATTGATTGATTGACTGCCGATTGATTTATGGGCCATCGTGGGGGGCTGGTGCTGAGATAGATTTTCCGCTGATTTAGATTTTTTTAATCGGCGTTAAGAGATGCTTTAATTTATAGCACATACATAGGTTTTTGAAAATTGAGTCCTTAATTTAATTTGTAGATTGTGAATTAATAATGTTAACATTGTTTTTAGCAACTTTAATTTTAGAACATTTTTGGGGGTTTTTATTTAATTTCTTAAATTGTGAATTTTTAATGTTTACATGGTTTTTACCTTTGCTTTAATAATATTGAAATTATAAACAATATTTAGAAACAGCTTTATTTTTTGTACATTTTTACCTAATGTGCCAATTTTTTGCACAAGAATTTTTTGGGGAAATTGCTCATTAGCAACTCATTCAAGCCTGACTAACGAGTGCTCCAAATAACCCAAATTTGCTTCAAAATACATACTTTTTAAATTAGTTATGAGAGAGATCTTCAAGGCACTACTTGAAAATGTTATTAGGGCTTTTGCTGATACTTCTATTTTGTGAGTCCTTCAGTGAGTAAGCTAGTTTTTAATACTTTTGGTGTAATAGCCACTTCTGCCAATTTTGCAAAAGCTCTACGCAGCAAATTCACCAATATAAGTGCGGAATGCAGCAATGAATTTTGCTCTAGCATGCGCGGCTGGTTAACCGAGAAAGGTGAGCTGAACATGGATATCCACCTGAATCACACATTGAGGAATGGATTGCGGACCACACTTACCCTCCTGCAGCTGATAAATGGCCAAAATCGGTACCAGACACTTCTCAGCTACGACATGGACACCTGCAAAACGCTGCGGGAACTTCTGCAAGCCAGTTTGCTGAAGGTTTGGCTGAGGAACTTGTTCAAGTACGGGAATCTAGCCGACCGCTGTCCCATTAAGCCAGTGCGTACTGTATCTCCATTTTTTTGTCTGCAAGTTCCGAGGTCAAAGTTTCCCCTCTGCAGGCCTACTACGATGTTCGAAACTTTCAGCTGGAGAACCACAGCATTCCGGGGTATTTGCCATCGGGATTCTATCGGCTGCACGACACAAATTACTACGGAAAGCCCAAGGGCAGACAACGCCGTTCGGTGGCCACTTTGGTATTGGATATAAAGTTCTATTAAATACAAATGGAAAATGCGAATTCAAGATGCTCAAGTGGGTCACGGGTGGGCCCAACCAACGGTTTTCCACTTTTCAAGGCTGCGTTAGTAGTGGAAAACCAAGTTCAAGCTGATAAAAGTCAGAGAAAACGACAGGGATTGCCCAACGAAATTTAGGTGAAAATCAGACTCAAGGTCTTGCTTTTGTGCCGAAAATTTATGACAAAAATGTAGTTTTGCTCCACTTTCAGCTGGGACCTTTGCCATCTGACAATGCAGGTCTTTAACTAATTGCATAATAAATTCAAGTGAATTTATGGTTCAGCTCCTGCAACTGTCCTTGCTCATTTGGGTTGTCAAAAAGTCGCTCAATCTAAATGATTTATGCATACAAACATATGACTGCGGGCTCACGTGTTCGCAGTGCTCTACATAAAATTGTTTTCTCATAATTGAAAGTGCTGTGGGTGTTCCGGCTTGTGGTTTCAATTATAAGCCAAAACTGCACACAACATTGTGGGGAAGTATAAATTTAATCCAAGAGAAATATACCTTTGAGCTTAGGATGCACATAAATCTTCAACTTTAATTGACACAGGTAATTATTTGACAGAAATAATAAATCTTAGGATGTACCTGCATTCCTAAACTTAAACTGCCCAACTTTTTGACTGCATATAAATCTTAAAGTTTATTTGGCAACCAAAATGTATACTTGAATATCTCAGTAGAAAGACAACTTTAGGTTTAAGTGGTTAATAAATCTTTAAAATCAGTCATCTTCCTTAATTTAAGCCGGGGAATTTTTGGCAAAAGTAGAATTCATTGTAGTGACTTATAGACCTTATGGTATGAACAACACGGCAAATTTATACTTGGGGAATCAGCAAATTAGAAATACAAATTAAAATTTTGAAGCAGATGATGAGACACACTAAAAACTTGTAAAAACTTGATTTCTTGATTTAAGAAAGTGTTATTAGAATATTTATTAGATAAGTAAAATGAGGCTTGAAGGTCTGAAAATATGTAAAGTATATTCTTTAAGTTATCAAATAAAATGTGTGTTAGTTAATCTACTTATTAAAGTGTATCAAATTCTAAGCACATTTATTTTGTTTTCAGGTTACCACAGCTTACGGTCTATGCCAAGATTATTTACCTCCTGATGGTAAGTAGATTTCCACCGTAATTACTTTAAAGGAATTGAGAGGTGGATGACACAATCCCAGCATAATCACCTATAATCCTTGACTCGTCCATTCAATGCAAAAGTTTTGATAAACATATTTAGATATTTACACCGCCGGCGGGAATTCAAATATTGATGTGTAGTGCCCTTCAGGGCGAGTATTGACGCGTGTGCAAATATTCGATAGTACTATCAAATGTTGTGTCAAGTTATATCATCATCCTCGTCATGCGAGAGAGCAACAAACTTGGCCAAAGCCGAACCAAGCCCATTTTTTATTTTTGTCGGGAGAAAGAGACACAGACCCACCTACAATTCCGAAACTATGCCAATTATTTTATCAGAAGGGAATTTCCCTGCGAATCACAGCCCAACATCGATTGTCTGCCCTTATCAGCTGCGATTGGGCAAATATTTACCAAAAAAATAATATTATTAAACGGCCAACTACAAGGGAAATGTCGAGTGTATACTTATAAAAATGCCAAACAACCGAACGCTAATTAAATTATACTGTTCTCCGTTTCTTACACGTTTTCTCCAGCTATTTGTGGTATGGTTGTTGTTTTCTTTACACTTTTAATTTATTTGGCAATCAATTTGAAGTATGGCCCGGGGGCCGAGAAGTTGGCTGGGTGTCCCCATCGGATGTCCCCATGTCTGGCTTGCTGGTTGTTAATGTGCCGAAATAAATAACTGGAATAGCTGGCATTCCTCGGGCATGAAGCAAAAAACTGGGCGACGTCTTCGCCAAGTTCCGTTTGCCGCGATTTTTCATGAACCCACCGTTCGTACTTACTTTACAGCGGGTATTTGCTTATTTGTTCTAAATGAACAACAAAATGATTTTGGCATGAGTTGACTCGAGGCTGACTTGACTCCGAGTTGATTGAATTGTTCAACGCTTCGAGTATTTCTTATTGTACCGCTCAGGAATTTCTCATGCCCTAGGCATTCCGTAAATCTCCGCCACTGCCTGAACCCCTTCATAAAATCGAATATGTAAATTATGACCCGGTGTGATTATTTTTGGCTATATTTAATATGCGAAAAATTCCACTTGTAATTAAGGCGGATGTGAATATGGCTCAAAGAGAAGCGCTCAAAATTGTCCTGATTTTTTTTTCTATATTTAACTAATGACCGTGCAAAAAATTATAAAATATTAAGTCAGTGTTGACTAAAAAGTTGATGAACAATAATAATAAATGCGTCTTGCCAAATTTATTTTGATATAATCATTCTCCTTTTCACATTACATTTGCTCTTACAAAACTTGTCTACTCACTCTGAAATCTTTAGTAGTTTATTGTTATAAGTTTCTCCGTAAATCAAACTTTTATGGCCCAATATAAATTCAAACCTTGACTTTTCTTATTCAGTGCACTCGAGATACTCCGATGTGCCGAGGGATCGAAGCCTTCTTTATAGCTGATGGATGGCTCGAATTTAATATATCTAATGCAGGCGAAGTGTCCAGGGCCTAATATATATTTACTGGGGAATCGCCGATGATGGCAATGTACGTGTGCCGAGCAAATAAATGAGCAATCAAGAGCCAAATTAGCGGCACTTTTTATGGTGGCTTAACATGGGGCTTTTGATAGCGTCGATTTTGATTGGCGCCAGGTAAGGCAGTTGTCATTCGAATAGGTGACTTGGACTAGACAAAGATGTCCAGGTGGAGCTCTAGAAAAACTCGAATATACTATAGATGATGAAATTAACTTCTTTATTTGCGCCCAAATATGAAATTAAAAGTTTTAGGTTTACTCTCTAAATCGAGACTAGTGCTTTAAATATACGATTCTTCAGGACAGTGACAGAAAGAATAAATAAAATTAAAAATAAATAAAGTCGTTCAATTTTAAGCCAGATTGTCCAAAAAAAGAAAAATGTTCTAATGTTCAGATTTTTTTTATAGGATGTTTTATAATACAATATATAGTATTTTCCCAGGACTCAAATAATTGAAATCAACATTACCTTGGCTTTTTGTTTACTTTCATTTATCTATTTTTTTTTTGGAGATGTAAAAAATATAAAATTATATGTTATACAGGATTGTAACAAATAATCTTATTACACTATATTTTGTGTCTTTCCCAGACTTTTTGTGTCTTTCCCAGACTTTTAATCTTTTCGACTCAATATTGAAGTTCGTCAATGAAAGGCAGATAACTCGGGGATTTCACATCTCGTAATTTTGGTTAAAGTTTCCATTGAATGATTTTTGTAGGATCATATCAAATGACTTAAATTTTTCCAATTTCCGCTGTTGTCTTTAAGTTTAAAGAAAAGATCAAGCTTATTAAAAATGATAGAGAGGTATTAACAAATAATATTATTAGAAGAGCAAAACATACATCAGTTGCTAAGGGTATTGTACATTTTCGATACTGTTTCATTCAGGTTAATTTTTACAATTCCCCAATTTTAGACACTAATTTTCTGAATGGTTTAATGAGAATTTGAGAGCCACGTTTATGGCTCAATTAGTGATAACTCGGGTCTACCACCTCCATTCCTTCCCAGTTTTGGTTCTTGTTTTATTAGTAAGTTTAAACGTTGTTGGGGTATTATTGGGTGCTGTTTAATTACCCCTTTTCTTGTTGCTTTGCCCCAAAAGTGCGACGCTTATCAGGAAATTATTTCAAAACGTTAATTGAATTGTCAATAGATGGGGAGGCAGGGCCGTTTTTGGTGTCTGGTGATAGCAGAGAACGAAAGGTGTACAGTGTACACCCCAGAACATATACTTCTTGGTATTGCCTCTATAAATACCAAGAGCTAAATGTATGTAAGTCGGTCTCTAATTGCATTGGCCAGATAAAAATTTCACGACGTGTTGAGTTTAGTCGGCTTTCTCGTTATGGATATCCATCCATGGCACCCGCCACACAAGGCCACCCATAATATCCAGACCCCCAAACTTGTTATTGTTATTGTTATTGTCTCGATATCGGCGATCGATTCTGGTGATTATCTTGATCGGCATTGTTTTGGTCAACAGCGGAAAGTTTCGCGTCGCGTTTTAAAAACGTGCTTTCGCGATAGGAGAGTGCGAATAAAACGTGTTTCCCGCAATCACTCTGACTGGCATTGATAAATCGGGCTAGGGTTACCTCAAGAATGCCACAAACTTTGGCGGGAGCGAGGTGAATGATAGTTGTCACTGGGAAGTGGGATTCCCCAACACTTGGAGGTTGCCTAAAGGTCAAGTTGGCTACAATCATAATTTAATAATGACAGCTTGCTGACCCTCACACACTCGAAAAGTTCTGCCAACTCAAATAATAATGTTTGTAACTTTTTAGTGGTTGAATTGTTTGTGTGTTTTGTGAGTGACAAAATTGAGATAAATTCCCAAATCAAGCCTCGAACTGCCAATCTAGAGATGTGGAAACATAATGCTAGCCCAGACAAGAGGTCTGACTTATCTGGACATAATTTGACATGATATGATCCCGCAGCCAAGTCGTAAATTAAGTTTTGTTTCTTCGAAAACGATGGGCGGAGTTAAGACCCCTTGACATTGTCAGTGAATTTGATTTATGCTACCCGACAAAACATTCGATTGTGGAATCGATTTGGTCTTCAGCCTTAAAAGGCTTTTGCTGTAAAATGCTTTTCCGACTTTCACGCCACGATTTCCGCTTTCGAAGTGGAGTCCTCCTTTTATTCCTCCAATCTGCCGCTGTTGACTTTGCTAATGTGTGGGCAAATACTGCAGTTTTCCTGGGATAAAGTGTTCCATCAGATTTATGTTGATATCAATGACGTTTGGCTGAAAGCTGACTAATTGATATCCTCTTGATAAACATCCCTTATGATTTTACTTTTTGCCTTGAGGGTGTAAAAACCATAGCTGCCAGCCTATTTTCGGCTATCATATCTTTTAAAAATTATAAATATCGCCAGTAATTTGCCAATCGCACACCTTATATCAATTTAATTCCACCGCACTTGGCCAGACATGTGCTTCAAATTCTTATCGATTAAGATAAGTCTGAAATACGAGAAAATATCATATTAATAAGTGCAAAAAAAGAACAAACTCAGCCTAGGACATGATGCTTAACCCTTTATATAAGCTTAGAGTTTTTTGAGCAGTTAGTCTCCCGACCAATTAAAATAAATGACAGCTTAAGATAGCCTTTTTACTGCGCAGATGTTTTGCAGGGCATTCACTGTTATTACTTTGAATAACAAATTGGTCTGGCAAATATTTGTTTATTTTTTATGTAAATATTATTGTCGCACACGAAATTGATGGGGCACAGTGGGCCAAGATAGTTGATAGCAGGCCAAGAAGTACCCACTACATGGCCAAAAAGTATAATCTATACATTAATAATTGCTGCGAATGTCAGTCAGGAATTTTATCAATTCGACATTAGAAATAATGGTTTTAAATTCATGATAAAATGTTCTCTATTAACAATGATTGCACTAAGTTTTTGGTAAAACCATTTAAAGTGGAACTAAAAAATAGGAGAGAAATATTGGTTTTATAGGATTTGGAGTTAAGTTTAAAACTTCTTATATCGTAAAAATTCGTTTAAAACATTTAGTTTTGGAAGTTATTTCTCCCACCGTTTAAAAGGCCAAAAAAACTGTCTTTGGAAGACAGCCACCCACATGCCGCCCAATATCCCCCGCCACTTGCCCACCCACTACACACTACACACTATGCACCTAAACCACTACCCACCGCCCACTTTGCCACACCTGATAGCAGCAGCAGCAGACGAAGCTCCGCAATCTTATCGGACCTGCTCTTATTGATTAATATAAAGATACTGACAGCCCAATCGGCGCTGTGGGTATGGGTATGGCTATATCTGTATCTAAATGGGGAAGGCTAAGCACAGACCCTCCGGAGTTCGTGGAGCATTCTTTTTTGTTGTTTTCACCTGGCCGGCGCTTCGGGCTGACATATAGAGCAAACAGAAAGACACAATTATTTTTTCATATTATTGTTATTTGTTATAATGGCAGATAGGGGGGCTCCTTTTGGACTGTCCTATCTGACACGCATTTCTCTGCCTTTGGCGCCCTCACAGCGTCGATAAAGGCGGCATTGAATGACTGACAGTGCACTGAGCGAAATTCCAGGGGCTGAGTTTGTTTGGTGTTGGCCTCCGGTATTTGCGCACTTAGATAAGCGCCCATTTGGCAGCCCATCAAAAGTGATAATCGATTGGTTTTTGTTTGGTATTTGTTTGCTGTCGTAGCAGTTCGGAAGCTTTGTTTTGGGAAGAGTTTTTTATGGGGCCGAATTATCGCGAAACGGAAATACTATGGCTTCTGTGCAATAAAGGAGTTATCGGTAATTATTTATGATAAATGTACATAAAGACCATTGTTTTGAAATGTTTATTATCGTTTATGACTTTAACAGCTTTCTTAGGAATTTATTTTTTTTTAATTTTTCTGTATTGTATAAAAGTATTTCATATTTTCCAAATTTCAAATTTAAACTTCTTATGTTTCAAAATATAATTTCGTATATTAATTTTCTTATAAGTAAGGAAGTTAATCTTAGTCATTATACGTGTCTTATATCTGCTCTCTTATAAATAATAATGTTTACTTTCTTAAGAAACTTCAAACTCTTTAAAAAATTTGTATATAGCTTACAAACTTTTTTTATTGGTATTTATACCTTATAAGGTTTTTTTATAGCTAGTTCTTTAGACTCTTTTATACAATTTTTTTTGAAGCGCTATTTTTGCTATTACGGCTTTATAAAATAGGACCGCCCAAGATCACTTTCCCTAGCTGTTTTACGACCAGCCCAAGCAGTCTCACCTGTCATTGCAATAGCTTATGTCAACTGCAAGCGACCCACTTCTAGATCCCCTAACTTCATCTGTTTTTACTGTCTTCCAATTCACAAAAGCGCCGCAGGAACCAGAGCTTTCTTTTTTGGGTTATGCACAGAGAACTCTCCCTTTCTGTTTTTCGCTTTTATCGCAATCCAAACTTCCGCTCAGTGTATCCCCGCCCCCCATTTTTATGGAGCGTTCTGAGGGCAGTTGAGCGCCAGGCGGCCTTTTTGTGATTGCGATTGTGCTGACAACAGAACCACGGACAGAAAGACAGAAAGACAGCCGACGAGCTGTTTATGATGATGATTTCTGCCATATGCCACACATGCCATATCCATGCACCATCACACCAGTTACCATGATTTGGATGTTTTGGCTACGTCTGGGCTGGAAAACTATTATAAACACGACTACATATTTGAGCTGCATAATTACGGCCTGTTGTTTATTTCCTGTAACATGCAAGGCGAAGCCCACCGCGAACCCTCCGCATTCTCTGAAGACAAACACAAAATAGGTCTATTCATGGGGTCTTATAAAGCTGTTCCGCTATTGCAAAACGCATTTTGTCTTATCAGTGAGGCAACTGTCGGCTAAAGAACCCAAAAGGCTCTCGGAATATTCCACATTGCGAAGCATTATATTTGTCTATCAACAGATACAACAGACTGGAATTCGTTTAAAGAACTTGTGACTCAGACAGTCTCAGTCTCTTGGGTTTTCCATACCAAAATTGAAACCAACTTTTGGTTAACAAGGGCTAGTTTTTAGTAGTTTTCTCAGGTTTTTTTTGGTTTCTTTATGCCGAAAATATTTCACATTCCTTTGTACAAAAACAAAACTTAGCAATAGGGAATTTACATTGCTTTACGCTGTGCTTAACTTCTAAAAGTGAAGAAGAAAAGGGCTTAGAAAAGGTAATGAGGGGTTAAGTAGTGTCTGAATTGTAAATATTTATACCGCAGGAATTCCAAGTATTTACTATGCACCCAAAGTATTTGACAACGGTATCGTATGATATATTATTTAGGTAGCATAAATCGAGACAATGCATGGCTCTTTATATTCTCAGACTAACTAAGACATGTTTTTTCGTTCCCATGATAAGCTAAAATACGGGTTAAAATAAATAAATTGATGAAAATTGTCTTTGATTATAAGAATACCCAAACATTTAAAAAACGTTTTAAAAGAATTCGATTTTTTGAAATATTTCAGAATTATTTTTAATTAAATTCCCTAAAGTTCACCAAAATTTTCACAGGGTATTATGACTTCCACCATTAATTGTGATTTCGCAACAACCGCACTTTGTTGGCGCAACACACCGGCACGAGAATCAAATCAATTAGTACGCTTGTCAAATACCTTGTTGTATTTTGGATTAACAACTGAAGCAACATTTTCGGCGATATCGATAAACGATTGTGTAGAATGCTTGCCACACGCCAAACGAGTGCTTCGATAGCTGACCTTGTGCTACCAAATTTTGCCTCCAATCAAAGAATATTTCATGGGTGAAAGAAAGTTAATAATACCCAAGCTTGACCACATTTTACATATGGCAACGTATGCTATTTTAGTTTATTTCCGCTGGAGGGGCATTAAAAACCGATCGGGTTGGCTTAATGACCTAATCCACTTTGTCGGTCTATTTTAGTGTCTTGGTTCCAAAAAAAGGCAACCTTATGCCAAAGTTTATTATCACCGTGACTTAGGTCAGTCACACTTGGTAACTATTGCTGGAGTACAGTCGTGTAGAATTGGCTAATGGTCTAAACTTTAGGCTGTGATTACAGGTGCTCAATTCAAATACTTGGCCGATGATTGGATTGAAGTACTGGTACTCGACGCCCCCACTCGATCGCACATTTTGCAGTACCGAATTACCTTATCAATCGATCTGCCCAGGCGAACGACCTTAGCTCGGGGTCTTGACTCTGCACCCACCTTATGCAAGTTTCAGCCAGACTTTGGCCAAATATTTTGGCCATGACTAAATGAGTGCCTGGAATGCCGACTGCTATCTGTTATCAAACGATTGTGTCGCTTCCGCGTCACTTAATTGAACAAAGAATGTTCAGGCAGCAAACCCTTTTTTTTTTTTTTTTTTTTTTTTGCGTTGTAAACCAAAACTCGGGGATCTGAGGGCCCGACACTCGAGAACCTGGGGGACTGATGTTACGTCTGATTCGGAGCTGATAAAATGCCACGGCGTTTATTGTATTCGACTTGATTTGTTTGGCCATGTCTTTGTCTATCTAATTGCTGTCTACAGAACCACAATTCTCGGAACTGTCCGATGGCCAAGTACTAGAGTCCAGTGGGTAGGATTACGGGCTACCACTAACTGAAATTTCAGTTAGCTCCTCCACAGACAGGTGATTCAGTGTCGGATGGACATTGGACTCGCCTTTCTACGTTTCTTATTTAAAAGCATAATATATCTGTTTGGAGCTTTCAAAACTAAATAGTACCTCAAAGGCACTATATAACTATTCCTAAACTTTATCTTATTATTCAGATTTGAAACCAATGATAAAAACTAAATAGTACCAAAAGACTGCAGCTAACAAATCTTAAACCTTCTCTTATAATTCAGCTTTGAAATCAATTAAGAAGCAGTTTTGTTATATAAACCTTTTCAAAAGATTACAAATCACTTGAGTTTGTTGTGACACCATTGAAAAATGAATATAATAATTATATGGATGTTAATAAATTCTATTAAAAGATATGCTAATATAATAGAAAATTTATTTACATTTATTTAAATCTAGACTTTCCAGCATTACCTTTCAGTTTTAATGCTTTGAAACAAATATGCAATTGCGAAAATTTTTGTGTTGCTTACCCCTGAAATATGGAGTCATTATAGTGGGCGCCGTGCTTGGCGTGGTGGACTTCGTCATGGGCAGCATCGGGTTGGAAATGATTATTTCCCACAAATATCCAGACGAAGTGGTCGAATTCTTTCGCACCATGGACACCAGGACCTGCGTGGCCGGAGTGACAGCCGTAATTTGGGTATTAATGATAGACCATTTCCTTTTAATCTATGGCGCCATCAACGTGAGTTCATTTGTTTCATTTGAATTTGAATAAGAATTTAGTGTCTTATGTATCCATCTATGACTAGAATAATCTTCTGCTTATCGGCACCTGGTTGTTGATAAACTATTTCATATTCCTGTTCACTCTCGTCACCGTGCTGTTGGATGACTGGGCGATCGGCAGAATAAGTAAGACTCGGAATCTGATATCTAACAATCAAAAATGCAAGTTATCTTTTAGTTGGTATCGGCTATAGCTTGATCGTGGTGAGATCTTACTATACTGAATTGAACGTGGTTAGTCCAGTTATCAGCCAAGAAGATAGTACGCAAGAAAATAGTGACGAATCGTCTGCATAAAATGGTCATTTAAAAATATTAATAAAAAAACACAAACCATTTTCGATACAATTTGTCTCCAGAAAGTAATAGTTAAAAAACTCAGACTTTAAATTTCGTTAATCAAAATTGGTAATATTTTTATCACCGATCCGATCACAATAGTCTTTACAATCCCCATTTATAGCTGACTTATTTATTTATTTGTGTATTTATCTTCCTCCTTCCTGAAATGCAAACAGGATTAAGCGATAATGAAACTGCACTTTCCGAAAATGCCGTCAAAAGCCCCGCTTCAGACTCATTAAAAATCCATTAAACTCGATAAAAAAAAGAGAAGGAGATGGAGGCTCCTCCAGAAAGAAAGAGACAGAGGGCGGAATAAGCATTTCTTAATAAGCTTTACACACAAATGTGGAGCACTTGGTGACAGTTCCCGCCGACTTTTTGGGTTTTTTTCCTCCAAAAGGGTGAAGTCAACATCAGACGACAAAAAAATAAAATAAAAGTCGAAAGTCGAGGGCCGGCCACTTAAAAGCTCATTTTGTGAGTGCATTTTGGTGTTGCATATGCAAATAAATCATTCCGTTTCCAATTCGGATTCGTGCCGCTCATGAGATATGCAAAAAATCGACGAGTAAATGAGCTCCGAAATCGTTTAAGGTACAAACGAGCCAAATCAACGCTGATCACGAGCAGTTTATGGTTGCGCATTCATTATAAATTAAAGCGTATATTAACGGATAATCCAAGTCACTAGTGATACCTAAAAATATCTCAAAGAGTGTGAAATTCCTGTTTAATGAATCACTAAGTCACAAGGTAGTTTTCCTTACTAGAGAGGAAACATAAAATGTATATACCAGGCAATTTATGGGACGTTAATTTACTTAAGTCAACTATCTTGCCATTTTTATTTACCTCTACAAAGGAATGCTATAATAAATCACTTTAAATCCATACATAAATAAATGATCAGTCATAAAAGTTTAAAGAAGTGCCTTAAATATGTTCCCAACATTTTTTCTAAATGATGAATAACTCAGTGAATACAAATAAATAGATTTAACATTTAAAGGGGAGCATCACTATGGTTATGTGGTTATGACGTCTCTTAGAGTGACTAATAGTAAGCAATTTTATAATCAAATACAACATTCATATAGCCATTTCCTTTCAGATTCATTTTCAAATTTAATTTAAATAGAGATCGTTTGTGTCGCCGAAGCGTGTGACTAGCATTCAACACCCACTCCCTTTCATAATCTTAAACAAAATTTATTTTAATAGTGATTCATAGCAGTGACCCTATGCTTGCACAAACATCCAGTCATAGTGATCAGGGCTTTAGAGAATCATAAAACCTATTTACCCGATGCAGATACAGATACAGATACAAATACCAGATACAGTTGCATTCGGGTTGAATGACACCCTCGAGTGCAGCTCACACACTGTGTCAAACAATTATCGGGCAATCGATAAGGAAAGGAGCTCCGTCGATTCGCTCCGCTTCGCTACAAAGTTGGGGATAAAGTTATCAACGACATAACTCCCGATACAAAGCGGTTCGGTTTCACAACTTTGTTTAATGATTGGCATAAAATTCACTTTCCGACTGCCTGCCGTGCGTTTTATGCCCTGGATCTAAAAACCCCTGTGATCCAAGCTGCCGACTTGCATCCATCCCATCTAGAATTTATGCGGTGCTATTAAAGAAGTGTCCATAAAACGTTGCGCTTAATTAAAATGGCACGTAACGCGTTTAACCCCAGGATGGCGGGCGGGCCAGCTTTTCAATTTCGCTCAAAGTTGAGTTGCAAATCGTGGCCGGCAGGCAACCTATATTTATGGCTACAAAATCGGCATCCTTTTTCACTGCCTAATGAGATTTTCACAAAAGCAAAAATCATAATTTCCACGCGCAACGAAGCGCAGCAAATTACCATTTTGCCAAAGGGGGCGTGGCATTTGCCACAGTTTTGCTTACAGGCAGCCACACCCATTTCTGGAAAATAAAAAAAGGCAAACTTCGAACCAAAAGTATAGTTAAATTTATTTTTAAGCGAATATATTTATTAATAATTTATTATTTATAATTTTAAGTTTTCGCATTACTTTGTCTTTAAGTGTTGATTACCTCACTATCTGACTTGAAGAGATTTTCATATTCGTTGGGTTTTATTTTCTGGCAGCTGACAAGAAAATCGTTCACTCTCACTTTTAACTTCACTTTGAAAACGAAAGAGTGACAACATTGATTCGTAGATTAACTGGTCTTGGGCAAAACAAATTTATGGATGCTCCTCAGACGTGGAACTTAAAAGTGACGTGTTTAGCCGTAAAAATAAGTGATATTTCTTCCAAGGAATTCCCGTGTTCATCCGCTAAATATAAAGTATACTCTATTTGTTTGCCAAAGAGAATTTGATTTATCATTGTTGAATAGCAAATATCTGATCGAATGCTTAAGGAATTTCATTATTCTCTGATAGAGTTCCAAATGTGTCCAAATAAATCTTATCGTGGCGGACAAGGGAAGAAGTCCCTCCTATTTTGATTTGTGTTTTATTCAATACGAGACCAACAAATCTGCTTTATGACGGGAAGCGAATGCAGATTAGGAAATCAATCCACTACAAATGTTTGGCCTCGTTCACAATAATTTGCCGCCATGATTATCTATTGAATTTCCAGCGGCAAGTTGGCAAATATTAATAATCCGCCGCGTTGTACCGCTTATGCAATGAGCCGTGCCAATTACAGATTTCTTTGCGATTGCCCGCCCATCGAGGCGTAAGTAATGTAGGGGGCGCTGAAAAATTCGATACCCGAATGGATCATTAAAATCTGAAATTTTCTGCACATTAAACCGGCCACGAGATACAGTATCTGATACATATCAGTTTCACCCCAGGACACGGACACTCTGCACCCCAGGTGCAGAGTGATATCGTCTCGGACGGAGCTTGTGTCTTGAACCCTTTCGTCGCATAAGGCAACATAATTCGCTTCCGTTTGCCAATCCAAACAAAAATAAAGCAAAAGACAAAAAGGCATGCGGATAAGTGCACTGCGAAAAAATTTAAAATTCCAACAAAAATGAAAGTAACGGTTAACAAGAATAGAGCAATAAAACGTTGTAGTAGGGTAATAAGAATCACAAGCTTTAAAATCTTAAATTAAAAAAAACACTTCGATTTAGAAATGACTAAGAACCTTAATTAAGTGGCTTTGTTATTATAAATTAGTTTCGTTTACTACTGTGCTTTTACTGCACTTTACATTTTCAGTATTATAAAAATTTAAATTAAATCTAACTTTTATAACACCACCAATTTATTTTAAGTTTTGTACAACAATATTTATTTGAAGTATTATTTATAATTATATAAATACAACTGTCTACTGTACTTTCCCAACTTAATTAAAATTGAAAAATTTTAACAACAAATTAAATGGATATTGAAATGATTTGTTTTTTTTAGAAAAAAATACCCTTTGAAAGCCGAACATTTAATTGGATTTCTTTGGGAACAAGGGATACAAAAACTTTTTGAAATAAGGATGAATAAGGATAATAATTTTGAAACAGATGTTTTTTCAGTTGCATGTATTGCTGTTTGAGTGTAGCCGAAGTAGCAGTGAGGGTTGTCAGTCCTTCGACAGCTTCCTTTTGTGGTTCCCCGCAAAGTCTTAGCCCCTCTGCCCTGCGTTTGTGTGTCAGTTGCCAGTTTCGCGTCTTTCCGCTTCCGTTTTGCACGACCCGATGCGACCCCATAAATCCGCTCACTGTTTGTCTTAGATCGTCCCACTCCCATTTTCCATTTCCCCCTGCCCATTTCCCTCCCCATTTCCCCTCCCCTAGCCAACTGCCCTCCGTCGTGGCTTTTCCTCGTCGCCAGTTATCCTACACATATTTATTTTCCTTTTAAATGTGTTTTTTGTTGATTTTATTGCATCGCTCTGGCAGTTCAATGAACGCATTTGTCGGCGCCATTTGCCAAGTCATCCCCAGCCCCACCCCCTTTTTTTTCTATAAATCCCCTGCTTCACCCAAAAAAAAGGCCCCCTCCTTGGCACGTTGTTATTCTTAAATTTCAAATATTCCAACATATTACATTCTCATACTCGTTGGAGGCACGCAAACATTTTGGCGTACATTTCCGCAGGAAAATGGCAGCCGAAATGCCAAAAGGCCAGCGGACCAGGTGGTGAAAGTGGGTGGGTGGAGCAGGTGGGTGGGCTGGTTTGGGGGTGGGGCGACCTTTTGCAGCATGTTCATGCCGTTTGACATGCAACTTGGGGCGCAGTAGGGTCGCTGCTAAGGGAGAGCTTCGGCTAGACTCATTACACAAAAGGGGGCGATTTTTTGTGGCAACTAACAGTGGCATAATTTGATGGCCCAAAAAAACTTAAATTTCAAAGAAATATCTTTAAATTATATATTGTTTTAAGATGTTCATATTGGCAGAAAATAGTTTTGTAGAGTTTTATAGGTTAAACATTTTAATATGAAAGGTTTTCTTCAATCCTTTTCAATTTAGTAATTGTTTTATATTATAGTATACCTATAAAAATACCTATTAGTGATTAGAAGAAATTCAAAGTTATTTTTCTCTCATTACTTTTTCTAAAGACCTTATTGTTACCTTCTGTGTAATATTTAATAATATTATAAATCTGATTACACAATTACTTATGTGGCTAGAGACTTAAGTTCACCAAAAATTTACTTAACCAACATTTTGTTACCTATAATCAATTTTCTATCTATTAAATTTTGTACCCGAATTCAAAAACTAACCCACTGTACCGACCACCCAATTTTCCCCTTTCACCGGACGACTGGTCCATTATGTTATTACATTTACTACAATAACCAAATTACAGGTCTGTCGAGGGGCAGGCACTTCCGTTCTATTGATTACATTTGCATTTTGATTAACAAACGATTCGACCCCTGCCCCGTCGACATTTGGATGTTATCCCCACCTCCCAGTCCAGCGTTATTTGTATTAACTGGCCTGTGGCAAGTGTTTAGATTTGCTTTAATCACCTT